GCTAAATATTTAGATACAAAGGGTAAATGGCAATTAGAAGGAACCATATTTCCTGCTTCAAATGGTTAATTTAAGAGGTTCAAATTTAATAGTTGCTTTTATATCCTAAATCTCTTTTGCCTGATTTAAAAGACATTGTTTTTAACTCAACCTGCTCCTTGAAACCGGTAGCAATCTGCTTCTACACAGTGACATGAAATGGCAGCAAGGATCATCCATGACAATGAGCAATTGCTCTAACCAATGTGTTTGTAGGCTTACCAAATTTTGCGGTTAAAACAGAAATCAACAGAACAACATTTCATTAACTATTTTAAAAATATGCTCATTATACACACAAATGCAAACAGCGAAGCTGTTTCTGTAGTCACAGGGGAACAATCTTCTCAAATGAAAAGCTTGTATCATAATCATATTTACAGAAACCTTCCAGGAAGTCAGGAAGACAAATACCTTAAACCCTAGAAGAGGCGGTCGAGAGCAGCTTGTTACAAACTTGAGTAGTTTGCGTTTCTCCTCATCAGTGAAACTTTCTACAACTCTCCAGAATATTTTAATTACAGGATGGTCTGCTGTGTAGCCACCTATAATGAGATTTAAATTATTTAAAGGTAGAATAATTATATGTAAGAAATAAATCCTCCAGAAAACTAGCATCTATCTTGAAAAGCTTGGGGAAAATGGCAGGGGGGTTGGAACTAGATGATCTTAAGGTCCTTTCCAACCCTAACTATTCTATGATTCTATGAAAATACTATAACCAGCAGGCTTACACTGCTGACTACCAGTATCTACAGATCTCTTTAATCACTGCATTTTGAGTTTCTCATTCATTGGTTACCTATGGCTACTATCTCCCTCAGCTTCTTAATTCCAGTCTTCTTCACTGAATCCTATTTGTTTGTTTTAAATTAATTTCATTTAGTTTAGCATTTACCTAGTAACCTTGGATTACTGCCTTTTACTTTTACCAAGAGTCTGCAAAATATGCAAAACTCGGGACGTTGTTTAATGAATCAGTTTACCTTGAGGTAAGGCTGGATATGAACTAATTATATAGTAGCAACTTTTTGATTACATTCATGATAAATGCAGGGGAAAAATGAAGCAAGGTACCTTGCATTTCTCACAAGGGAAAAATATGAGCTCTCCCTTCAGGCTGAGTAGGAAATTGTAAGTATCTGAATGCAGCTGTAGAAACAACTATCCCAAAGTCATTTGCAGACTTATTTTCATAGGAACCAGACACAACCATTGACTAACATCTATTTAGAAAAGGAATTACATATCCTCTAATTATACAGCTACAGACTTGTGTTTAAGTGTCTGAATAAATACACTGCATGCCTATAGTTTTCAACATTTACAAAACTAGACTGTATTATAATTTCACTCAATCTTCTGAGATTCAGGCCTGTCTAGAGAGTTTGGGCAAAGTTAACAAGAATGCCCCTGCAATTTTTTTAAAAAGCTAGGATTAAAAGCAAGTTTATTTACTCCCCAGTTATTATAATATTTTTTTTTTTTATTTAAGTAAAAAATATGCTTACCTGAATAGTTTGTGAAAGATTTAAGGTCATCCAAACTAATAGGAACCTGGGCACCAGAAGTCAGAACCTAATAATGAAGGAAGTTAATTACATTACAGACAAAAAGTTAGCATTTATCTCTGTTTAAATCAATTGTTTTCTGCCATTTTAAGCAAAGTACCTGTATTTCCTGTTGATCAAACATTCGAAGCCATTCAAGATTCACAACATTGGCCAGTCCCTGACGGAAAGCAAGGCAATGCTGTCGGATTTGTTTGTTTAGCCTGTAGTCTGCCACCAGATGGATGTACGCGATTCGGTTGGCGCTGGTAACAGGAATATCTTTTCCACCTGGCTTCAGCTCAATCACCTATAAACATAACAATTTTCATCATCTTAGTAAAACTTTAATTCTGTGCGCTGTAACCATAAAGTTGAACTGCAAAACATTCCAGTAAGTGATTTATGTGTCTGAAGTTCACTAGAATATACTCAAGAATATTCACCTAAAAATAAGATGCAACATTATGACAACTTATAAAGGTACGGGGTTTTCTGTTTACTCCTAAGACCACATTCCACAGCAACCAGTTTCTAGATCTAAACCTCCAGCTGCTAGTGCAGGTGATCACATGGCCTTGTGGTTTATTACCAGGAAATGGATTCGGCAAAGTCAGAGCTCTTTCAGAGGAGACGGCGTGTAATACTAAATTTTCCACTGCAAGTCAAACAGAAGCTGAGGTGAAAATCTCCCCCTTGGCAAGCTTACCCCTAGCTTCACTGATGGTAGCCAGTGCCCTGGAAGAGAGAGTAGTCTGTATAAGCACAGAGCTCACAGAGAGCGCTGTCTTTCCGGTTGGATTCAGAAAGCTATGTTTGACAGACTAGGCTTGACTGATGATCGTGAATTCTGCAGGATCACATTACAGTAAAAGCAATGTCCAATTCCAATTCTGATACAAGCCTAATTTACAGAATTATAAGCATTCGCAATTCTTGCTGTTGAAAATCCAGGTTGCATGTGCTCAACACCTTCAGCAGAAGTAAAAAGAGCAAACAAACAAAAAAATCAAACCTGAACTGTGTTTTTCTACTGAGGTTAACTTATTCTTTAAGTATACCAAGACACCTCAGCATGGAAGAATTCTTAATGAAAAGAAAAAAACAAACTAAATACACTGTAAATTGCATTAAGATATACACCAGGCTCAAAGGTGGTTGCTGTTAAAACACTAGAGACCGTTAGATATTCTGCTCTTTACTACTTAACTTCTGTTGAGTAGCAGCCCACATGGAAGGGATTATTAGAGTACTAAGAGGAGGATTAAAAACCTGAAAAGCTGCGATACTGTCATCTTCTGAACCCTTCCAAAAACAATTTGTGTTTTTACACTCTGGAGTCATCAATTTTTATTTTTTTTTTTTTTAAACAACAGTGCACTTCTGTCTGTGGTAACAACCACATCTTTAGAGCACAGAGAATAAAATGTGAATAGCTGCTCTTGTAACATGCTGACTAACTATGTGAGCTGTTCTAGTACTATGCAAAATGGCAAGATAAAATAAAAATAAATCCCAGTGCTTTTGAGCATTCACATTTTCACTTGATTCATAGCTTTTTAAGACCAAAGAAGAACATTAAGATCTGTGAATCTGACCTCCCAGATAACACAGGTCAGAGGATTCTGTCTAGAGATTCCTAACTTGATAAATCCATAGATGAGCTAGAGCACATATTTTAGAGACAGGCAATCCTGGTGTAAAGACTCCATATGTCAAGAGTATTTATCAGTTTCCTTGATAAGCTAGAACAACCTGAATTACAATGGGTGTTAAAATATATCTTACTTTCCACTTTAATCCTTCAGCTGCAAGCTTCTTGCTTTTGTTCCATCTACAGTAAAAAAAATTCCTCAATACTACACTGTGTATATATGCAGGTAGTACTGACTACACCTAAACCCTCTTCTGGGGTTTTCCAGTAATCTAACTGCCCCTTTCAGATTTTGTCAGTGTGAGATTAATTTTATCACCATTATGTCAAAGTATCAACACAGTCTGAAACAAAAGGAGTAATGCAGCAGGAATAATACATATATTATGCCACAAAAGCTAAGAAGGATGTAAAAGAGAAGGCAGAAAATAGTAACACTTGGTAGTGGTAAATGTTGATGCCATTCATTTTTTACCCGCTTCCATGGCATTTTAAAGGAACTATTGTAGAATTCCCACTTAATTTTAAACATCAGGAATGACTGTAAGAGTTCCTTTTCAAAAAAAGACAATAATTTATTGCATGTTTAAAGATTTATCAACTTAGATTTTTATTCATCCCATTTCGCCACTAGATGGTGCAAGATAACAACATAGGTTAGAACTGGCAACACTAGAAACTGCCCAAGACGTGCAGACTTATGTCATCACCTTATTTTCTATTTTGTAGACCCAAGTTAAAATGATTTTTTGTTTGTTTATACTTGGTTCATTATCGAAATCACATATTTTAAAAGCAGTGAAATCATGCATATTATTCAGATAAGTACTTGGATTATTCAGGCAAGGGGAAATACAAACCTGGAATATAAAAGTCCTATTTTTAAAAATCTGCAAGAAAAGGTGCTTTGCAGTTTTTAGTACTGTGGACAGAAGTACTGAATTAGGCCTCTGACTGAAGGTTAGATACACTTGGGACCATACTTGCATGCACTTAGGGTTTTCTTGGCTACAAATCCTATTTTATGTTTCTGCAGGTAAATAATAAATAAAAAAATAAATAAATTAAATCAACTTATATTTACATTCTTAAGAAAACAATCACAGTTTGTAAAAAAAAAGTATCTATTTTATGAATAGCTGCAGTTCAAATGAAGAGTTCAGACTATAATTTTGAGTAACTGTATTTACTGTTTTGAACATTAGCATAATAATGAAATAAGCACAACAAAAATCAGGAAGACAGTCGATAACATATTTGTCAAGCAGAATTCAGGGGCGCTATCTTCTGGCTTACTGGTAATCATCTGTCACACAAAATCGATTTGTAATGTGATTACAGGCAGAAAAAAATGGCAAGTCTCTATTGATAGACAAACTTAACGCCAGTTCCTGTTCACACAGATCTGGCAGTGGCAGGTGCTTCCCAAACTAATGTAGAAAAGGAATATTTAGAGGGTAAAGTGGGAAATATTTTAGGAAAGAATAAGGTACCTGTCATCTAGGCATTCTTTTTTTGTGTGAAGATATAATCTATGAAGATTCTATCTCTTCACAGAATCACAGACTTCCCAGTGCAATTTCAAAAAGCACTCTTAAAATAGTCAAGAATTCCTATAAGTTTGTTTTTAGAAGAGATGAAAATATTTTATCTTTTCTCCTGGACTGCGACCATTTTTTTTCACATCACCCCTACAGTTTTTCCCCATTCTGAAAATAAGTTGACTTTTCTTTCTTTCCCTCCCATCTGTCTTCCAGATGTTCAGGCAGGAGTTCTAGGTAGGAGATTGCACCTGAACACCTAAGAACGCATTTGCTTTAAGTGTTATAAATCAGCCTGAGAAGGATCAGCTTCAACTTCAGTATTTTTCATCTGAGAAATCTCAAAAATCATTCATCTAATCCACTGTATCCTAGTAAAGATGTTGCCAAGACAGAAACTTTCAGAATTATTTTCAAGGCTTCAAAATTTTCTCTCAGGGAAATTTAAAGGCAAAGAACTCTCCTTCAGTGTGTCAACACATTTTAACTAACAACAATGTCATACACATCTGTTTAAAAAGCCAAAGAAGGCGTCTCAACATCAACTTTCCCTACTGTATGGATTTCACAGAAACTGCTGTCATGGATGTTATAGTGCTTTCCTGTGGATTTGTGCTTTTAAACTTTATTTATGGAGTATTCTGATAATTTCAACTGTTCTGATCCATGTAATCTCAAGAATCAATGCTTGAGGCAACTCACTGTAGTACAGAACCTGCCACTTTTGAAGGAAGAAGAATCAATATTTGAATCTTCCTCTCTCCCCCTGGACAGCCACAAAACACCTTCCTCACTGGTAAGGTCTGAAAAAAGGAGGTACTGTCTCCAGCTCAGTAACTGTACACTTATAAGCATTTTAGAATAATTTTATCACCATCTAATCTACTAGATAAAAGGAAAACTAAAATCAATATACACAGCTACTTGAAGGCACCTGTAACTATAGGCTGACATTGTTTGGAGGCTGTTTTAGTGGCCACCATTTTCTGCAGCAGAACCAACTGTTGAAATCTAGGCTATCACTGCATTAGATAGTTCTTTATCAAAAGCTAAAGCTATTTGGTGCTGGAAGATAAGGTTGATGGCAGAGCTCCCCTAATTAGCAGGTCTAATGTGCAAATTATTAAGTACCTTTTTCAACTTCTGGTGAATGCACTTTGACAGTAGTTTAATGGGATCTAAAAGCACATTACAGGACTGGAATCAATACACTGATAATAGAATTTCCACCTTCTACTATTGACAGAGGCAATAGAGCTCCTTTTGAATGTGTCTTTCATAGCAGATAATGCTTTTGTGCCACAATTGCTGGATGGACACTGTCACGAGGATAGCTATTTACAATGATAGATTTATGATGCATTTATTGGGCACAATTTATTAGACACTAAAGTGGTTGTTTAGCTGAAAACTAGAGATAATGTACATTCAACTTAAGGAGTGCAAATTAAGCTCTTTTCCCAAAGTGAATTAGCCTTACCTTGACACAATTAGTTAGTATACAATGGTTACATGAGTCAAATACCAGACAAAATGTATTATCCATATGAAGTTTATTAAGGTAATGAAATGAAATATAAAAAGCAACCTGTTGCATCAAAACACAGAAGACAATGAATGACAACCAATTAGTTCTGTTGAACTACACTAATATGCAGTCTGATTAAAAGATGGTTAATATTTCACGGGTATTGTGCTCTCTCTCCAAATATAAACACAGCAAAACAGCATCAGAATATTTAACTTCCATTTCCTTTCCTTACCAATAATTATATTTAATCTTCCTTTTAAACTTATGCCAAACAATTAGAATCCAGAAGTCTTGATAACACCAGCTGTAGCCCTCAAAGACTTTTAACAGACAAATTAGGCTTCTTGGCAAGAATGCACCTTTTTACAGTGTTTTTGTTGCAGTAAGTAGAGCTGGCAACATCTCTAACCTGCATCTCTACATTATTTCTGAGTGATTTCTCTTTTCTATATCCTTCTACCCTACTTGTTGACATAGGTTCTAACTTGTGTGGTTAATTTTTCAGGACATACAGTGTAGGTGTATGAAGAATGGAAACTAAAACTTCCCCAGAAATTACTAGCTACTTTTCATTTTTAGTTAAGAGACTAAACTGGATTTGTATTAGCTGCAATCAACAAACCTATTACTGTTAAGTGCACAATAATGAGTCGCTGGGTCATTATTATTTTAATCCATTATGATTTCTAACTCTGATTCCAAAGCAGGGCAGCACTTCTATCGCTTACATATCACCTACCTTTTCCAATTATCTGAAGTGCAATCAGACAAACAACATAAAAGATTTTAAGAAATTACCTCAAGCAAAAGAAGTTTTCATGTATGATTGTTAGAAAATAATCACTATAGTTAACTATTTAAAAGACCAGACTTTAAAAGCGATAGGAAACAACTGCTAAAGGTGCTGTGTATTGTGTGGCATCATAGGGATTCTGGCTCAATATTTCAAGTACTGAAAGTAGATATAAGTAGCCAATCTAACTAATCGTGTACTTGAAAAAACTTTTGATGATGACTTTAAAGAATGACTTAGTGGGGGTAGTAACGACTCATCAGTCATATATAACAGGAAAAAAAAACAACAGAGCTAAAGCCATTCTTACCTGTGCTTCCCCAAGGTCATTATTTACCACAGTGAAGTTCAGTCCAAGTTCTTCCACATCCCCTTCATAGCTCTTGAGAAAAAGCAAATTTTTATACATTTCTGGATCTAACGAAGCTAAATGATGAATGTCAACATCAGCACTTGTCCCCAGCAATTTTGAGAGGAAAAAACTAGCAAATGGCAGCTCCACCAGCATATTTTCATAAAGAGCCTGAAAAACAAAGCAATTAGAAGCACATTAGATTTTACTTTTGTAGATGTAAGAATTCTGAACGCTGTTGTCTATTTCTCAACCTTTTGGTAACTCCTAAATTCAGTGGCTGAATACGATCTTCTGGTATGGCACTAGCCCATGTATTGCAAAGATTTAAAAACATTCATCTGAAGTTTGAAATTTGGATATTCTTGTGAAATACCAAGTCCCACATTTTACAAACTAATTATGTGGTGATTTAAAAAGGTCACCACTTATCTGTCATTAATCTTCTTGTCCTAAGTATGAGAGCAAACAGGAAGTGTTATCAATTGCACAGACTGGCAAGAAAAGCCAAGTTTACTAAAGGACAATGCAAATGCATCAGAATGTCTTCCAAAAATATTTAGCATTTCTACCTGCATTAGCATCGTCACAAACAATATTTTCCCATTCATGATACATGTAAAATTGTCTGTCCAGTAAAATTAACTACGTAAAAAACAGTACATTCTAAACTAATCCAAACACATTATTTCTCTTGCATGTTGTACAGATCCATCACTGCATATTTTTGGTGAATTCTGCTGCTTAATGGCATCAAACCACCCTAATTTTCTAAGCCAAGAGCCTACCAGTTATGACTGTACCATATGTCCAATCCCTCCTACACCTGGCACTGTTTTGACCTTCAAAGGATTACTGAACCAAAAATGAGCCTGACTCAAATATGCAGGACTCACAAAAAATGTATTTTTACTGTAAACTGAGAGTTTCCCTAAGAATTTTCAAAAATGCACGAAACTCCAGCAATTCTACTCTCAGTTATCTGCTATTTGACCACATTTCCATACAATGCAGAGCAACTTTGTGTATTTTTTCATATAAGAACTTCTTGTCGTTTCTTTCCCATCAGTACTTATTTATGGTAGCTCTCAAAAGGAGAGATGGAAAATTCTGAGCTCAAGAGAGAAAGCATACCATACTTTAGAGAGAACCTACATGAATAAAGGAAAACCAAAACACTGTTGCCTTTAAAAAAACATTCCTGAAACATGGTGCCTTTGCATAGCCTTTCCCATTGTCCAATCTGTTTGCCACATCAGCATCTCTAACGACAACCAAATCTTTATACTATCATTAATATCACTGCCAGGCTGATCAGAAAAGACATCAACACAGCATTATTGTTTGTTCTCTTTTTACTCTTTAAGAGCAGCGCTTTGGCATTACTTAATTCCCCCATAATCTGCTGCATACTTAGAAAAGGAAGCACAATGAGGCAAAAAAAAGGGAAAAAAAATGAAAAAATGTAGCTATAATCATTCAATGATATTCTAACAAAGACGTTAAGAAAAATATACACAATTCCTTAAACTTTTGAAAGAACATTTCTGTGAGGTGAGTTAGACCTTCCAGAAAGAACTCAGAATAACGAGTTCAAAGCCAAAGGGTGCATTATATTTAGAGCTGTATGATTTATTCAAGGTGTAGAAGTCGAAATCCTCATTTGTATACTTGACTTTAAAAGCAAACTAAAGGGATAAATCATTAATTTGCAATGTATAAGGTCAGTGTTTGCTGTTCCTGCATTAGTAACAATAAAGCCATTGTAATTCCTTAAATATATCAAAGCTACCCGAATTTAAAATGGAATTCCATCTATGACTCATAAAATGTAAATGTAGAGGTGTAATTTTTTACACAAGGCAGGTTTAAGCCTTTAGAGCATTTAATATACAAGGACTAATAAATGATAGCACTAAAAACTATGATCACATCAGCTAAATGGATTATAAATTAAATTTCCATAATGTATGCAACTGAAATACAAAAGTAGACATAAATCAAGGTATTTTCTAAACACAGGTTAATTACACAAATTCAAAACCTGTCTATTTTTTATGTAAAATAATCCACTTAGCATTTTTCAAGCTGATCTTAAGTCTCAGCCACTTGCAACACTTGATCCTAGAAGCCTATCAATAATTCCTTGTCAGGAAAAAACAGCAATAGGTATATTGAAGAAACTTGTATGTTATTTTTCAAGTGTCTGTCTTTTATGAGTGTTTATTGCTAGAAATTGTGCCAAAATGATTTGAAATAAAAAGGATTAATTATAGTAGAAGCTTTTTAATATAAGTGAGTGCAGCTGCAATGCAATTAATGCAAATTGTGATGCTATCAGGAAAATAAATGTGAACAACATCACTGGCTACTTCTGTTTGCTGCCAAATAACTTCAGTAATTTACTACATTAAGAATCAATAAAAAAATAATGCATTTCCAATGCATCACTATTAATCTTCAGGTAGTTCCAAAGTGAACATTTATAACTTCATCTAAAAACTATATAAAGCATTTTTAAATAAACTAAATTGTGCAACTTGAGAATAACTTTAATTACTCCTTCACTTAGCTAAGTGATTGCAATATTACGAAAGTAATTTTTTGAAACAAGACGAACAGTAATCCTTTAATTAGTTTCCAAGTCAAGCTATCCTAATAAAGTTTGATTAAAAAA